ACCAGGGACTTAATGAAGGATTACTGACAAAAGAGAACTATATATGAATGAAACATTATCTTTTTGCACTTCACCCACGTTTGTATCATATCCAGTAAGCCAGTAGTTGTGCATCAAAACATTGTCCATGTCTCAACTCTTTACATGTTATCAAGACCTCTGGCCTTCATGGAAAGAGTATAGACTTTAGAATCAGAGTCCTAGATTTCAAGTTCTGGTTCCAGCTATGTGACTTTGGATAAGTTACCTAATCTCTCTGAGTTACAGTTTGTTCTGTAAAAGAGAATAATGAAATAAATCTTCTGTAAAAGAGGATAATACAATAAAGAAGACATATATTTATTTCTATTGTTTGTAGAAGGCATGCTTTGATTGTTGTGAGGATTAAAGAAGCGTTATAAGTACCTAAAATATTCCCTTGCATATATTTAGCACTTGGTAAATGTTATCTACTACTAACCCTTAGGAAAACTTTGCAATGTAAATATTGTTTTGGTTTTTTTTGTGGGTTTTTTTTTTTTTTTTTTTTTTTTTGAAATGGAGTCTCGCTCTGTCGCCCGGGCTGGAGTGGCCGGATCTCAGCTCACTGCAAGCCTGCAAGCTCCGCCTCCCAGGCTCACACCATTCTCCTGCCTCAGCCTCCCGAGTAGCTGGGACTACAGGCGCCCACCACCTCGCCCGGCTAGTTTTTTGTATTTTTTAGTAGAGATGGGGTTTCACCATGTTAGCCAGGATGGTCTCGATCTCCTGACCTCGTGATCCGCCCATCTCGGCCTCCCAAAGTGCTGGGATTACAGGCTTGAGCCACCGCGCCCGGCCGCAATGTAAATATTGTTATACCCACTGTGTAAATGTAGAAACTGAGGTTCAGAGAAGGTATAGCTTGTGTAAAACCACACAGTAAATAGTAGAAGTAGGATTCACATCCATGCCTTATTTCCAAATTCATATGCTTGTCATATTACCTTGATAAATAATGGAGAAGGGAAAAGATCAGAAAAATTAAAAGGAAAAAAATACTTTTAAAAAAGCGACTTTTCCCCTTCCCCCAAACTGAAATTTACCCCTTTGCCTAGGTTTTGAATTCTTTAAATGTTTCATGTAAGTCAAAATTTCTATGAGAAATGCATTTTATGCTTCTAAAATAACAGTGTGCCCTTAGATTTGTAAAGAGGTGGCCAAATAATTTCATATATTTCAAGTTTTTTAACTTCTTATTGTTAAAAAAAATCATCCCCAGGCTTAAGAATTTCCCATTTAAAATCTTTATTCTAGAGGCTATAGTTTTGTTTCTTACACTTTCTGGAAGAATCTGTGCTAATGACCACTGCCAGATTTTTTCATGATATTTTCATTTTTATCCATGCATCCACTGGTGTCCAACTTACTAGACTACTAAAACTGAATCAGAGTTTAATATACTTATTGTGCCTTACAGAATAATTTATTTTACATCACTTAACAGCTTCCCCTTTCTGCATCCCTGAAGTTCCATAAGAATCAGCTGAGGAGATGAATTTATTTATTCCTTCCTAGTCTAGAGTTTTGTGGCATCAATAAAACCGTAGATGCTAGAGCCAGTTTCAACAACTACCTGCTAAAGGAATAAATCCTTCTTAATAGGGATGACATTTCCATGCCCTGAATCCTGGGGAAAAAAATCTAGCAAGCAAGAAAAGATTTATGTAATTCTTTTCTATGAGAAGAATTGTTATACAGTGAGTGCATGTGGATAGAATTTTAATAAACATTGGACCAGGCAGAACAGAATTTTTTAAAAAGCCATAGGTATATAAAACATCATCTAAGTTTTTTGAGCAGTGTTAATATGCGAGCAGTCTACTTTGGATAAACAAAAATGAATTGTTTTTCTCATTGTGTCAATTTGTATGTTTCTAAGTTCCTTAAAATATAAGCAGCGGAACATAATGAACTCTCTTGTTAGTTGACTAAATTCTTCATTGTTTATAATATCAGTAAAAGTCCTTCTAGCTTATTATAATTAGCCTGAAACCTGATTGTAAACTCTTAGTCAATTGTGAACCTGATTAATTCGTCTAAGGTCACACAGGTAGACAGAGCCAGGAATGAAAGACAGGTTTTCTGACCACTAGTCCAGTTTTCTTCCTACTATTTTGACTTTTTCATAATTTTATCCATTCTAATTGGGCGTTAATTTTTTTTTCGAAGTTTTTAATTATGATAAATACACAGCATAAAATTATTAAATTTCAAAAAATCGGCCGGGCATGGCGGCTCATTCCTGTAATCCCAGCACTTTGGGAGGCTGAGGCGGGCGGATCACAAGGTCAGGAGATCGAGATCATCCTGGCTAACACGGTGAAACCCCGACTCTACTAAAAATAGAAAAATTAGCCAGGCGTGATGGCAGGCGTCTGTAGTCCCAGCTACTCGGGAGGCTGAGTCAGGAGAATGGCGTGAACCTGGGAGGCGGAGCTTGCAGTGAGCCGAGATCACGCCACTGCACTCCAGCCTGGGCCACAGAACCAGACTCTGTCTCAAAAAAAAAAAAAATTTTTTTCAAAAAATCTCTTTGAATGGGTAAATAATACATGAACATGTAACAAAAATGAAAGGTTTACAGTATACAGTGATGAGTCTTAACTCCTACTCCTAACTCCTGTCCATCCCAGTTCTCCTTACAGACAGCCACAGTAAGGAATGAGGCATTTCAAATAGACTGCTTTGGTTTCATAACATGCATAAACTGACATTGTATTGCGTTATTCTTTGAGTTGCAGTCCGGCCTGCCAAGTTTAGGGGTTGCCTAACAGAGGAAAAATATAAGCTGTGGAATTAGAATATGGAGAGATTTATGAACTGAATTGGAAAATTACCTAAGGTCCAAGTTATTTCCAGTAATAGAAGTGAGGACTCTCTTACAGAAGTAGTTTATTACTCAGATATTGCCTTTTGTACAAATAGCTTAAAGTATGTTATAAGAGCACTAATGTATATCTTCATGACAGGTAAAATCCATGTCTGAGTATTACATAACTACATACAGCTACTTTAAAATCAGCAACACATTGGCCAAAAGAAAGAACCATGCTGATGTTTGAATAAACATCCTTAGGCTCTGAAACTGTCATCATAGGACACTGCATGGATCTGCTTCTCTTGGGCCTCTGAGCCTACATGTCCTACCCTGTTGAAACTTTAGCCCCCGTCTTTGGATTAGACCCCAGGCCTTTGGATGAGGAGATAAGGGGAGCTCCAGGAGTACACATGAACCTCTGACTATGCTGCCACTGTTGAGGTTGTACAGAATGAAAAGCAGTAGGGCAGCAGCAGCCTCTTAGTTTTGCCCAGACCAAGGTAGCTTTTAATGCAGAGGTACTGGATTGATAGCTGCATATGACTGCCTCCGTGGCGAGAGTCAAGCTCTAGAAATCTGCAGGCTACAGCCTAGCAGGCCACATTTGAGGCTTCATCCCAGTTTAAAAAGCAGATCTTCCCAAGTGAAAGGAAGAAGGAAGGACACTGCAAAGTTTCTCTCTTTGGATATCTCTATATGACCAACTATCTGGCAGGGGAAAGGGTGTAGGGAATTTATAGGTGGTTTAGAGAAAGAGGGATGAGAGTAGGTCAGGGAAGAGATAGGGAGAGGAAAGGCAAGGTGGGAGAAAGTTGTCTTTTTGAGAGAGAAAGTCTTTGCCTTCTGTACTGTTACTCTTGGATTATAGTCTCATGTTCTACTCTAAGGCAGTGTTTTTCGAACTACTGTGTTCATAAGACCCTCCTGGAGTACTTGCTAAAAGTTGAGATTCCATGATCTCTATCCTAATGATGCTGACTCAGTGAATCTCAGATAGAGTCCTTGAATACTAGGATAGTTTTAATAAGGTGTTCCAGGTCATTCTGGGGAACACTGCTGGATGAAGGCTGGCCCTTGTACTCTGAACAGTGCTAGATGTGTTGCTCCAGATTTGTCCTCCATTGTAAATACAAACAGCATACTGGGAGCCTTAACTGCAGTTGCTTCATTCATATCTAAATTAGAGCTTTTTTCTTTTTCTTTTTTTTTGAGACAGAGTCTCGCACTGTTGCCTAGCCTGGAGTGCAGTGGTGCAATCTCAGGTCACTGCAGCCTCTGCCTCCCGGATTCAAGCGATTCTCCTGCCTCAGCCTCCCGAGTAGCTGAGATTACAGGCACCCACCACCATGCCCAGCTAATTTTTTGTATTTTTAGTAGAGACGAGGCTTCACCATGTTGGTCAGACTGGTCTTGAACTCCTGAGCTTGTGATCCGCCCGCCTCGGCCCCCCAAAGGGCTGGGATTACAGGTGTGAGCCACCGCACCCAGCCCTAGAGCTTTTTTCAAAAAGCATTCATATTCCTTTTCACCTAATATGAATGCCTTTGTTGATTTTTTAAATGTTTTTGTTTATTTAAAACAATGGAATATTAGTTCATAGTGGCTATTAAAGCATTAGTGCTATTAATCTTTGCAAATAGAACCTATTTTGTTTGTCTATAATGGCCCTGCTATTATTTTCCACCTGGACTAATAGTCTGTGATTTAAAAAAAAAAATGTACTTTAAAAAAGTGTATTCAGGGCCGGGGGTGTGGCTCAAGCCTGTAATCTTGGCACTTTGGGAAGCTGATTCAGGAGATGGCTTGAGGCCAGGAGTTCAAGACCAGCCTGGGCAACATAATGAGACCCTGTCTCTACAAAAAACAAGAAACAATTTAAAAAAAAAATAGCCAGATACAGTGGCAGGCACCTGTATTCCCACCTACTCAGGAGGCTGAGGAAGGAGGATCACTTGAGCCCAGGAGTTCAGGGTTGCATTGAACTGTGATTGTGCCACTGCACTCTAGCCTGGGCGACAGAGTGAGACCCTATCTCAAAAAAATACATATATGTAGTTAGAACTTTGAAAACAAATAAGTAGCGTTTGTTTCATCATCCTAGTCATTTGAACAGTTTAAAATGTAAATGACTAATTTCAGTGATTGTGTTTTTCCTTTTTAGATAGGAACCAAGGCTTTAGCCTTCTCAACTCATTGACTGGAACAAACCATAGCATTGGGTCAGCAGATCCCTGTCACCCAGAGGTAAAGGTTCTTCTTGGATCTTTTTTCCTTCTTTGGCTTTAATTTCTCCTTGTCATTGTGAATCTTTACACATTCACCATTGTTTTCCTTTCCATTTAAAAGGCGAAGGAGAATGTTAAAAATAGACGAAAGGAAAGCCTAAAACAGCCCTTGCTAATGCAGTAAGCCCTTTCAAGATGTTTACAGCTTTGGTTTTATTTTTACTAGGGTGCTTTCTAAAATATGCTAGGATTTCCCTGAGGCATTAATTTGCCTTCAGATCTTTAAATAGAAAGTAAATTTGATGGTGCTTTTTTAGTACTTCCTGTGTAAAAGACCTTGGCAAATCCAAGGCAAGGTCCCTGTCCTCAATGAGCTTGTAGTCCAGTTTCAACCCTGCGTCCTTAAGAACTTTGTTCCAACTTTACCTTGGTCGGCAGCTGGAGCCAAGAGCAAATTTTACAGTGCCACACTGTCTTTCCAGGGATCTTTTTCAACAGCCTCTGAGCTATTTGTGTTACGATTGTGTTACATTTTCACATTTTGAATATAACATGGATCTTAAATGAGACAAACAAAAAACATGTTTTAATAGTCTAAAGCAAAATCAACACTTTCTGGTTCTTCCTTGGGGGAAAGTACTCCTGGGTTAGTGAATTTTTAGCCTTTTATTTTTTTAATGTGATCTTGCTCTTCTTTCTTTGCCTCCAGTTCCTGTTACTCTTTTCTCAAGCCAACCAAGGACTGAAAGTGTGAGCTTTTTTGGATTTAGTTCTGGAATAGTCTATTAAATTGTTGCTTATGTGTATTTTCCTCAACAGCAACCCCATTTGCCAGCAGCAGATAGGACTGAATCCCTCTCTGATCATCGGAGTGGTGCATCTAATACAACAGATGCCCAGGTTGATAGCATTGTGGGTAAGTTCCTCCTTTGGCTGCCAAGAGAGAGCTTTGTGCAACTTGGAATAGGTATCTGGGCAGAAATCATTGAGGGAGAAATTGACTTTAAACACAGAGAAGGGAAAAAAAAGTGGTAGTGTACCACACATGAATGTGAGCCTTGCCAGTGGCTATCAGAAAAAGGAAGAAGAATAAATACATAACAAATATGTGAGCACCATTTTTTCTTTAATTCTCCTAGCAGGATCTTGATTCAGATCATCGTAGCCAAGGCAGACAGAACCAGGTGGCGAAACAGCTAGCTCTGTATCATATAGTTTTTTCATAATATTTAACAGTAGTCAGAATTGATGGTGACAAGAATAATACAACTTTGTATTTATAAGCCCTTCCACATCCTTTTAAAGTTCTTTTATATCCCCTTTCTCATTTGGTAATGAAGTTTTGCAGAGAAGTTATTTTATGGAGATGAAGCTAAAGCCCAGAGAAGTTTAATAACTTGTCCAAGGACATCTAGCAGGAAGGGCCTGGAGCTGAAACTGGAATCCAATATGCCGTCCAAAAGCCAGAAAACCAAGGAACTTACTTGACAATAACTATAAATCTTCTTTTGCTGGGGAACTACTGATACTCTTACTTTATCTTTATGCTACAGAGGGCTCGTGTGCAGTAATACATTTTTAAAACTCTTTTTTCTTATTATAAGATAATTCATGTAGAAAACTCAAGTGATTGGTTATAGAAACATATGAGGAAGAAAAAATCATGTATATATTTTTTTCTCTCCAGTTTATTCAACCTTATCCTCTCAATTGAATCCTTCCCATTGGCTTTTAAACCTGCCTAAGTCTCTGCCGTTAAAACAAACTAGTAATCACACTGAAGTGGGTGGGGACTTCAAGCACTAAACCTAAGTAACTGTAGAAAACAGTAATTGGACTAGATACCATAAGACTAAAAACAAAAAGAACTGAACACAAATACTGAACTCTACTTAGTAAATTTGTTTCTTATTGGGGTATGGCTAATTCTGAAATTTTTTATATAGATATTTTATACACCACACATATACCGACATATAGAAAACAAGAAAATATAGATAGTGAGAGCTAGGTTTCTTACTGCCAGAGGAAAAAGGTTACCAATAAGGAAAAGGGAAGGCCGAGATGTGCCCTTTAGTACTGGATTGGAATCTAGTGTATCAGTATGAACTCATGGTTTTAAAAATATACTTACAGTTAGAAAATAAATACAGATGTGTGTGTATGTGTGTATTAGTATACACACATGTATTTCCTAGTTCTGTCCACTGAGAGGCCCAGAAGCAACAATATTGCCGTAGCAGTGGACACACTTAGCGCTCAGATTTTGCTTTCTTTTATTGTGTGTGTGTTGTTGTGTTTTTGTTTTTGTTTGAGACAGAGTTTCGCTCTTGTTGCCCAGGTTGGAGCGCAGTGGCGCGATCTCAGCTCACTGCAACGTCTGTTTCCTGGGTTCAAGCGATTCTCCTGCCTCAGCCTCCCGAGTAGCTGGGATTACAGGCATGTGCCACCACGCCTGGCTAATTTTTTGTTTTGTTTTGTTTTGTTTTTAGTAGAGATGGGGTTTCTCCATGTTGGTCAGGCTGATCTCAAACTCCCGACCTCAGGTGATCCACCATCTTCGGCCTCCCAAAGTGCTTGGATTATAGGCGTGAGCCACTGCGCCTGGCCAGATCTTGCTTTCTAAATACCATTCTCCAATAAAAGGAAGTAGGGCTTCTTGGAGAAGTGGTTGATTCCTGAACTTGGGCAAGAAAAATACAGGATGACCCTGGAGCATCTCATGGTACCAGAAATTAAGAAAATTCTCAAAAAAGAGTGGGGACATGTTGAAAGGGCTTAGGGACCAATCTAAAAGAGCTTCCAGTGGCTAAATCTGGAACAATTTGACCAGCAAAGTAGTTTAATATAGTATTGGGTTATAAGCCGTAGAATAAGCTAACTATCCATGAGTTCATACTAATATAAATAAATAATTGAATAAGCAAATGAGAAAGAAAGGACAGCATCTCCTTACAGAAGAATCCCAAGTAATAAATACAGAAGGAATGAAGAAAGTAGAAAGCCATCATTAGGCACAAAACACAGTAATAGTTGTAGCAGGCAAGATCCACTGATGGATGTTAAAATTAGTGGTGAAAGTTTGAGGAGAAGTATATCTGCGTAGTCTAAAAGTATCTCTCTCAAGATATTTATTTATTACAAAGGGGAAAATAGTAACTTTACACTGGAGAAACTCATCAGATACCAGCCACTTTAATTATGTAATGAAGTAATTTAATTATTAACATCACTGGTAATAGGACATATTGACATAGTAGCCCTCCTTATAGGATGCAGTGAGAAGGTATTCTCACCAAAAATGCATAACTGCAATCTAATAATAAGAAAATATCTGATAAACCCGGTTAAGGGACATTATACAAGTAACTGACCATACAAGTGTTAAAGTCATGAAAGACAATGAAAGACTGAAGAACTGTCACAAATTGGAAAAGACTAAGGAGATTTGACAACTAAATTCCATGTAGGATCTTGGAACAGAAAAAGGATATTAGTGGAAAAACTGATAAAGTCTATGGTGTGGTTAATGACATTATACCAATATTAACTTCTTGATTTTTATAATTGTACCATGGTCATATAAGATGTTAACACTAGGGGAAAGTGGGTATAGGAAGGGGAAGAGTATATAGGAACTCTGTATACTATTTTTGCAAGTTTTTTTTAAAGAATAAATTAAGAAAAAAATTTAAGGCAAAACCAAATCAATAAAAACCAAACACTTCCTCAATCCCATGTCTTCCACCTTATCTCTTTACTAAACTTATTTCTATTCCTTACCTCCCATTTGCCCCTCACCTCACTCCTGTCTGTCTTTTGCCCCTGGTATGCCACTACGGCAGCTCTGTGCAAAGGCCAACAATGACCTCCATGCCACTGAATCGGGTAGATATTTTCCAGTCCTCATCTTGACCTTGTGGCAGCATTCAGTGTTACAGATCAATTCCTCTTTGAAACATTATCTTCCTGTGCCTCACCCAACACGATGTCACCTGGTTTTCTTCCTACTTCTCTGATTATTCCTTCTCTTTCTTTGGTAGATACCCTCCTTTTCTCAGCCTTTAAATATTGACATTCTTCATTGCTCCATTTAAACTCTTCCAAATCTATATTTAGGCATGGAGTGATTCTGTCTGCATTAACAGCTCAATTACTATGTATACACAGATAGATCACAAACTTTTATCTTCAGCCCTATATACTAACTTCCTACACAACATGTCCATTCAACAAAAGCAAATATATTAACCAAAATACATTTTGAACACCAAATTGTCTATATGGCATTGTAATAGATGCAAATAATTATAAGTCATCCTATCTTCATGGAGCTTAGTCTAAAAATATAGAGATAGGACCTATAATGTAGTGATTAAGGTCATAGGCATTGGAGTCCTGTAATTGGAACCCTGCTGGGTTCAAATCATGGCTTTATCACTAGTAATGGCCTGACCTTGAGTAAATTAACCTCTGTTGGTGTTAGTTTCCTCTTCTGTAAAATAACGGTGACAAATCTTTTCTCATAGGGCTGTTGCAAAGATGAAATGGGACCATGTAAGTTAAAGCATTCAGTGGTGCAGATCCAAAGCAAACTCTCTCTCTTATGGTAGTAGTATTTATTAAAGTAGTGGTGGAGAAATGTTAGAATAAAAGGTAATATATGCAAGTGCTAAGACAGTTCTAGAAACAGTAAATGTAGAAAGAATTCTAAGGAAGGAGACCTGTGAAACTGGGATGGGCAGGGAAGACATTCTGAAGGTAGTGGGCCTGGAATGGAGAAGAAGTTAAATTTCTGATTAAAAACAAACTTTAATAAAGAAGCAGTGTGCCAAGGTAGAAACCGTAAAAGATTAGTAGTAAGGAAATGTGAATTTAAATCAGCTCTACCTCTGAATAGCTGTAATTTTAGATGAGTTCATTTTTAGATACAGGGTTTTTTTTCCATATCATTTTCTGTTATTCTCAGATAATGTTATCTGTTCTAATCACCTTTTATAGTTGTTGTCAATAATAGATGTGAAAATATTTGTTGTACAGTAAAATATGGTATAAACTTTAGTCATTTATTGGTGAGTCAATGTACCTTAGTGGAGTGAGTATGCTTTTGGAGTTGGTAACCCCTGTGTCTGGATCCACTTACTAGCTGTGACCTCGGCAAGTCACTTCACCTCTAAGCTGTGGTTTTCTTATCTTTAGAATGGAAATAGTACTCCTTACCTCATGTCAATGTTGTGAGGATAAAATAGTTACGCTTCATTTGTGAGGGCCCACTAGCAGCCAAGCAGGGCGAGGCACCATGAACTGTAAAGGTGGTATATACACTGGGCCTTCGATCATTGGTGACTTCATCAAGGCTATCATTTGCCTTAGGATTCTCTCAGTGTAGCACATATGCAAATAACGTGACAGATAATGTGACAAATCCCTATTTCAGATCCCATGTTAGATCTGGATATTCAAGAACTAGCCAGTCTTACTACTGGAGGAGGAGATGTGGAGAATTTTGAAAGACTGTTTTCAAAGTTAAAGGAAATGAAAGGTAATCGGATCCCTTGTGTCTAATATGTTCCCGTATTGATGCTTGTCTGTTTTATGTAGTAGCATTTTATTTTGTTCACTGCTGGATTGGATTCCTTGTTCTGGTCTCAGCTGTCTTGAGAAACTTAGCTACTCGTGGGACTTGGTAAAAAAAAATTTCCATCTTCATTCTCTTTCCTTTTACTTTTCCTGCTTTTGCCTTCTTCTGTTTCTTTCAACGTGTTACGTGGCCTGTGCTATTAGACAAATTTCTTAAGATGCATTTTCCCCCTAGACAAGGCTGCGACACTTCCTCACGAGCAAAGAAAGGTGCATGCAGAAAAGGTGAGACAATCAGCCGGGTATTTAGTGAGTACCTATAAAAGGTCCAGTGCTATTATTATAATTATATATCACACTTGTGTATTTCTGAAGGTCTCAGTGTGAGCTTTTCATTGAATATTAACTTCTAACTAATTAAATATTTATACAGTAATAGTATAGTTGCTGCATTCAAACCAAGATTTTTCACCTCTATGGTGAGTGACATGGAACCTTCATTGAGACTCACAATGTTTGCCTTTCTAACTATTGGGCCAGAAAACTCTTAGTTGTTTTGTTATATTATTACCAACACATGTTATTGGCAGGAAACTTGGATGGTTGATGGTGTTCCCTGATATGAATGTGTCATAATTTATCCTGTTCCCTTTTGGACATTTAGGTCATGTGCATTTTTTGCTTCTATAAATAATGAAGCTGTGCATATCCTTACACATCATCTTTGTATACAACTCTAAATATATCATTGGTATAAATTTCTAGATGTGGCGATCATGGATCAAATGGTATTCAAGGGTTTTGATATGTGTTGCCAGAGGACTGGAGGGCAAAGTGCAGAATTGTAGGTCTCAGTCAGTTCAAGGCATAACATATGAAACAAGCTGAAATGTAGCTGTTGCCTAACATTTGTTGCATGCTTCTCTCCACAGGTGGCCAAAGCATTCTGGATGGCAATCGGGGGAGACAGAGATGAAATTGAAGGCCTTTCATCTGATGAAGAGCACTAAATTATTCATACTGGGGTTTGACTAACAAATGCTAGCTGTCTCTGAGATCTCTCTCTACTCAGCCCAGTCATATTTTGCCAAAATTGCCATCATCATGTTGGCTGCCTGACTTGTTTATAGGGTCCCCTTAATTTTAGTTTTTAGTAGAAGGTTAAGGAGAAATCCTTTTTTCCTCAGTATATTGTAAGAGAGCGAGGAATACAGTGATAGTAATGAGTGAGGATTTCTTAAATATAAATTTTTTGTTGTTCTAGGAATGAGGGTAGGATAAATCTCAGAGGTCTGTGCGATTTACTCAAGTTGAAGACAACCTCCAGGCCATTCCTGGTCAACCTTTTAAGTAGCATTTCCAGCATTCACACTTGATACTGCACATCAGGAGTTGTGTCAACTTTCCTGGGTGATTTGGGTTTTCTCCGTTCAAGGAGCTTGTAGCTCTGAGCTATGATGCTTTTATTGGGAGGAAAGGAGGCATCTGCAGAATTGACGTGAGCTATGTGGGGCCAAAGTCTTAGCCCACAGCTTAGTCTCTACCTAAGAAAATGCCTCTGGGCATTCTTTTGAAGTATAGTGTCTGAGCTCATGCTAGAAAGAATCAAAAAGCCAGTGTGGGTTTTTAGACTGTAATAAATGAGGCAAAGGATTTCTATTCCAGTGGGAATAAAACCTCTCTAGTGAGTTGTGGGAGATAGGTTGTATGTTAGAGAGAACCTTAAGGAGTCCTTGTATGGGCCACGGAGACCATAGGTGATCATATACTGTGATTTTCGTAAAGAAACTCTTCTGCCTTAGTTAGAGTTCTCCCCTGCTGCTGGAGATGCCAGAGCTGTGTTGTCATACTTTATACCCACAAAACAAGGCACATTTCCCCCTTTTTCTCTTTACAGCCAAAGAGAGATGACTGCCAAAGGGGGAACACTAAGGAGTGGGTGGGGAAGCGAAATGTTGGGCAGTGAGTTCCTGAGCACCTTGTTTGACTTCCGAGGTTCATAGCTCCTCTCTGCCCTTCCAGGCCTGGAACCTTGGGTGACTATCTTTCATTCTTTATCCTTTGTCTTGAGTGAGTGGGTCAGCCCCAAAGGAACTGATAAGTAAATGGCAAGTTTTTAAAGGAAGAGTGGAAAGTACAGCAAATAAAAATCCTTATTTGTTTTTGTAGACTTTGTAATGCATATCATTAGCCCTCACTGTGATCATTATTGCTGTGGCTCTGAACTGGCACATAGTACAGTGGATGGAAGGTGCCCACACACCAGCTGAGAACCGGTTCTGGCCTAGGTGGGCCCTAGAACCATTTACACCGCATGAAAGAAACAGGTTGGGTTAGGAGCAGAAAGAAATAAGGCTCACACCCCTCCAGACACCACCTTATAAGCACTGCAGAACCTGAAACAGATGGCAGAAGGAATGGAATGCTACGGGGGCCAGCAGGAGTGACCACAGGGAGGAGACAGCTCAGTGACTGAAGCATTCAGGAAGAGGCTTTCCAGGGAACACTGGACATTGCTTAGTGACCTTTTGTTCCTTCCTTTTTTTTTTCTTTTACTGTTCTGAAGGACTTTGAGTCTGTGGTTCACCACCAGCCCATCAGTGTTTCTTTGAGGTGATTGCATTAGGGAAGTTGGCTCTGGGGTTGCAAAAAAAAAAGGTGGAACATGTTTTCCTTAAAAGATGGAAGGTTTTAGAAAATATACTAGGCCATCTGGTTAGAAAAAACAGACCAGACTAGAAAAATCTGTGAATTTGATTTGGTAGATTAAACAAAGCCAGATGATTAAAATGTGATTTATTTATAAACTCTGCTAATGTCTATTATTATGATTTTGTGGGTTTTTTAGGGGGTATGAGCGAGGGAAGCCCTATATCCTTCATTGGATTAGACATATATAGTGAATAGTGGAAGAGTTTGTCAAGCTCACTATTTTGGAATTTACCCTGCATATGTAATGTCATGTTTTTAAGACCTCAGCTATGTAGGGATATTGGCCTCCTCTAGGGACATATGGGATGAAGGTCTCTAGTGAAATCTACTAAAAGCCCATGTTAGAATAGTGATCATGAGCTAACACTACAGTAATAGCTGCAGTCTATCTACAGTGACCTATGTTCACACTACCACAAGTTGTTACAGAATTGCCAGCTGGAATTTAAAATAAGAGACTTGGTTTTTGGTTGTTTTTTTCCCTAAACATTTCTCGTTTTGCATAACATAGTGTTTGGCACATAGTAGGCCCTTAGTTTTGGTTGTAAAGTATGGTTTGTGTTGGATGTATATGATCACAAAGTTTGAAGATCCATACATAAGTGCTGGAAGGTAAGGAAAGACAAGAATAAACATTTTTCCCCTGAGAAAATCATGTGTTATGTAATAATTTTAGAGTGATGAAGACATAGATATTTTTATAATTTTAAAATATGCCATCCTGCCAGAGTATGAGAAGATTGACAGAACCAGTTTGCTTGCTCTCTATTTATAGAACTTGGCCACGTCTAATTCAGAGAAGCTAGAGATTCAGGGAAGCTAGACTTAGATGGTTGAGTAATATGGGATGTGGTTCAAGGACCATAGAGCATGTCAGGCCATTCCTGCAAACTATTTCGAACACGTGAAATGTGATATATGGCTGATTTCCTGGTCCCACTGTGGAGAGGTCGGGATCAACAATTTTTGCCATGGCTTGTCAGATTCCTTTAACCTTGGGCCAGTCTCTTAACAATGGCCATTGAGAGAGCGTGTGGAATGCCCCTTGCCTTGCCTTGGCCTGCCATGGAAAAAGAGTCTTAGAAGAATCACTGTCTAAGGGTAAGATGAGAGCTCTGTAAACTATCCTGAGCTTCAGCGTTTGCTGATGCAAAGCTAAATTTAGCAAACGTGTCCAGTGTGGTCAGAGGTTCTGATTCATTAGGGGTTCTGATTCATAGAACGTTCTGATTGATGGAGACAAGAGTTTCAGTGAATATTCTAACGCATTAGATTTGCTCTTCACTCTCCCTACTGCCCCTGTTAATTTTACAATAGACAATTTAGCTACAGCATTATGTCATTAAGTACCAAATCTTATTAGAGGACTATAGGTGAAGAAAGTGTAAAAAGTCTGGTCATGCGTACTGAACCCAGTATGGTGTTAGTACAAGGTTAGTTTGAAAACAACCCCCTATTAACTTTCCCATAATTTGTATGTCTCATGAAAGTAGACTGCTGACTGTGCAGGGCATAATTCTAGTATTTTTGATTCCACTCAGGGTTTAGTGATCCATCCTGGCACCTTTGGCATGTAAGCTCTTAGAGAAAACATCTTAGAAATCCTCTAAATTTTGGCCGGGCGCAGTGGCTCATGCCTGTAATCCCAGCACTTCGGGAGGCCGAGGCAGGCAGATCACAAGGTCAGGAGATCGAGACCATCCTGGCTAACACGGTGACACCCCGTCTCCACTAAAAATACAAAAAATTAGCTGGGCGTGGTGGCAGGCACCTGTGGTCCCAGCTACTCGGGAGGCTGAGGCAGGAGAATCTCTTTAACCTGGAACGCAGAGCTTGCAGTGAGCCGAGATCGTGCCACTGCACTCCAGCCTGGGCGACAGGCTTTTTTTTTTTTTTAAAAAAAAAAGAGAAATCCTCTAAATTTCCTACTTTGGCATTACATAGGCCTGTTGTTAGCATCACAAAGCTTGCTCTTAACGTAGGTCTCTTTACTCAGAATTAAGTTCTAGCATAGTAAGTATCTTGCTCTATTCTAAGTTGTTTCTCTGGTTTGCAGAAAAATTAACAAAAAAGGTAACAGCAATAGCATATTCCCACTCTTAGGGATTTACAGTTCTACTTTGTTTCCTTTTGAAAAACATTGTGATTCAAAACCTGGCCCTAATGGTTATTACTGCATCTTTGGAACACAGGCCTGGGGGTAAAAAGAAAAAAAAAAAAAAAACAACTTTTAAAACCCCTTTCTGTGTATCCGTTGTTAGGCCCAAACACTTCTTCCACACAGCTACAGATCTGGGAGGCATCACCAGCCACCCAAAGCTGCTTGCTCATGCCCAGTTTACTGAGTAGGAAGCCTCTTGGGTTCTCTCTAATGAAGGAGGTGTCCAATCATTGCCCCTGCCCTTGCTATTATCAACCAGGTGGCTTTAATGCTATTACACAAAAATGTGGACTAAGGCCTAGGGTAGGAACTTTATGGAAACAGCAGCATAGTTTAGGAGAGAAAAGGTTCTTTTAATCTGAATTCCAAGGACATGGCCTGCAACAATCATGTTTCCCCAGGAAATTCTCAGGAAGTCATTAATGGTGAAGTCAGAGAGCCTTAAATTTGTTCCTTCTACCCTGGTGAGAGCAGAAACAGGAACTCAGGGTCCAGCCAACACTGACTGTGAACGTCGGTGGTGCCAGAATCTGAGCAAGGTGTGGCAGAGGATCCAGACTTGAGTCAGGATGTAGTTTCTCCTTTCCATGAACTCAGAGTCCAACTCAGGTGGGAGCAGGGGGCAAACCAGACAAGGTCACAAAAGACAATGCCAAGACAGCATGTGAAGAGTGCTGTGACTAGCCCTAATGGCTGTGGGAAGGAGAGAACACAGTGGGTTGGGGAGAACAGGAAGTGCATCTTAGAGCAGTGGTTCTCAGAAGTGAGCCCACGCCACAGCCACCTGGACGGCCCCACTACAGAGCTGCGGATTCAGTAGGCCTGGCGTGGGGCCTGAGAATTTGCGTCTTTAATATCCCGGGTGATACCGATGCTGCTGGTTCGGTCCTGGGACCCACTCTGAGAACCACTGACTTAGGGGAAGTAACGCTGCTTGAGTTGAGCTAGAAGGATAAGGGATTGAGGCAGATAGGTGAGTGGAGGCAGCAGAATTGTTGGAGTTATGGCTTGAACAAAGGTACAGAAAGAAGAGTGAAGGGATGTGCTGGGAAAATGCAAGGAGTCCACATAGAGAAATGGTGGCAGATGGGGATGGCGTGATGCTGGAGGGGACTTTGTAGAGTCTGTGCCTACTCTGGAGGTAAGTGAGGAGCCAAAGGTTTTGAGCAGAAAAAGCATCTAATCATAATTACATTCCAGGAAAATGTGGCAGCAGTATTAGCAGTATCTGTCTAACCAGTTAGCTGTGAGAAAGAGTCTGAGGCTGAGGATGGACCCAACCCAGTGATGAGTTTGCCATGGATAGAGAAATAGAGAAGGGGGGAATTCTGCCATATATTTGCTATCCCTGGACTACAGGGACACAGATTAGGAGAATTTTGGAATAGCTGTGATAGCAGGTAAGCAGGAACTATATTCCTTCAGTCATATATAAGGAATTGCTGTAAGCACTATGGAAATGTATATAAAATATATTGCTAAGATAGAATCTACTAGATATGGACACTGAGTCATTTACTCGGCAAAAGTATGTGGTGGCCAAAAAAGAAGCCAGGGATAAGAGAATAAAATGTAAACCCTGCTCTCAATGAACTCACAGCCTAGAGCGGGGACTGTGGCAACAGAAATAGATGTTCATGAGAGGCTTCCTGGAGATGTCTGAATGGAGGCACAAAGCATTAGTAAAAGTTAGCCAGGCGAAGTGGTGGTGTGCTGGGGAGCCGGGGGTGGGCGGGGGAGGAGAAGTTGATGTTCTAAGCACAAGCAGCCATGAAGACAAGGATGATCCATGAGGGCTGCAAATTGCCGGGTTGTAGAGGGTGAGGCAGGGAGTGGTGAAAGCTAGGTAAGGGCAAATGAGGGCCAAGTGCTCCAGGGCAAAGACCTTAGAATGTGTGCAGTGGACTAGGGGAAGCATCTATGGTCAGATTGGTTACTGGGGCAGTATGAAGGGTGCCTTGATAGGAAAGCCATCTGGAGTCTAGGAGACCCACTAGGACACTGGTGCAGTTCTCCAGGCACTAGAGGTGTGTTCAGGGTGGTTGAGTGGGACTAGAGCAGAGAGACTGGAGAAGCGGGACTGTGTGGAGGTGGGAGCAGAGGACTGGTGGACCGCTGTGGCTTCTGTGGACGTAGGTTGGGTCAATGGTCATGTCTAAAACAGGGCTGAAGGCCAGAGGAGAGGGATAGTTTTAAGAGACACCATGAATTCTGTTTATTTGATTGTGAGTTTGAGGTACTTGTGGCCCCTCCATGTGCCAGCAGCCAGCAGTCAGCTGGACATGAGTCTGAAGCTTGGGATTAAAGTCTGGGCTGTAAGTACTGATTTGGGGGTCATTAGCATTTGTGTGGCTTGAAATCATAAGGGTAGATGAGATCACTTAGGGAGGAGTCAGCAGAACAGTGGTCTGGGAATACCAACAAGGAAGCAGGCAGAAGAGGTGTAGGCCCAAGAGAAAGAGCAGACTGTATGAGAGGGCCAAGGAGAACCGGGAAGTTCAGGGAGTAGGGCCTTTCCAAAAGGGAGATGGTCGCAGCAGAGAGGTGATGGGGAGCAAGGAAAAGACATTCCTCAAGCTGCTCCGGGCTTGGAAAATGGGAGGGAAGAGGCTACTGATCAAAACTGGGGAAGCAGAAAAGGGAGCTGGCTCAAGTGAGGGGGGAAGATGATCCTCTTTGGGGGCGCTGTGTTTTGCATCACGTCTAACAAATAGCTGGAATTTAAAGTCATGCATCTCAAGGAACAGGCTGGGTTAAAAGGACTGGTTTGGGTCAGCTGTTGAGAACTACAGGCTACATAAACCCTTGAGGAAAGCTGTTAAGGGGGTAGGAAGGTGGAAGTACCAACCAAATCATCATAAAGGCAGGAATTTGATGCAGTACTCGGAGGCCAAATCCATGGGCCCTTACACTGCAACCTGCCTCCTCCTGTTGAGGGAGGTGTTTG